TTAAAAATAATTTCATAAAAAAACTAATATTTGAAAATAAAAATGCAAAAGTATATAGTTTTTCTTTTATTTAATTATATTTTTTATTTTTTACTTTTTTGGTTTTAGTCCATAACAACAATTTAGTTGCTCTAATTTCCACAAAAATATATAATTTCTCTTATTAACAAATTTTTTTAATCAGATTAAGAAAATTATTACTAATAAGATTCAAAACCAGTACCTTAGAGTTAGATACTAATACTCGAACTACTAAATTGTTAGAATTTTTTAATAAAAAATTACAAATAAATTATATTTATATACAAATAAATGTATATCCGTGTAAATATATAAATACAAATACATTTATATATTTTGATATATTTATATATTTATACTGTTCGATGTGAGGATCATGCTAGAGAGTGAAAGTGTGTGTCGAGTGAGTTTTCAAAATTTGATGTCAAATTTGTGAGCGAGTCTCTTTATATGAATTTGTAATTTAATGATAGAATATAATCTTTATAATTTATTTATATAATGATATAAAATAATTGTTTTCTTTATTTATTTTTATTTTAATTTAATTTATTCTTTTTATCTTTTTTCTTCTTCTATTATTTAATTAAAATTCTTATATTAAAATAATTTTTTCATTATTAAAAATAATTAAATATTTATTTTTAAAATTATTTTTTAAAATTATTTAATTTAACAAATTATTATGAATTAATCTATGTCTGGAAAAAATAATTATTAAAAGATGATTTTGATTAATTTATAATAATATATGTTAGGAAAAAATTGTTCTATTAATAATCATAATTAGATTAATTTATAATAATTTTTTAAATTAAATAATTTTAAAAATAAATATTTAATTATTTTTAATATTGAAAAAAATTATTTTAATATAAGAATTTTAATTAAATAATAGAAGAAAAAATATAAGAAGAATAAATTAAAATAAAATAAAAATAAATAAAGAAAAAATTATTTTATATCATTATATAAATAAATTATAAAGATTATATTGTGTCATTAAATTATAAACTCATATAAAGAGACCGCTCACAAATTTGACATCAAATTTTAAAAATTCATTCGACACACTTTCAACCTCGAGCGCGCCTCATATTCAACACACACACACACACACATATATATATATATATATATATATATATATATATATATATATATATATATATATATATATATATATATATATATATATTTATATATTTTATATATTTATATATTTTATATTTATATATTTTATATTTATATATTTACACGAATATGTATTTTTATTTGTATATAAATATAATTTATTTATAAACTTATATATATATAAATATATTTGTATTTGTATTTATATATTTTATATTTATATATTTACACGGATATATATTTTTATTTGTATATAAATATAATTTATTTATAAACTTTTATCAAAAATTCCTAGTAGCTTAGTGATTGGAGTATTAGTCTCTAACTCTAAGGTACTGTGTTTGAATCTTGCCAGGTAACAATTCTTTCAATTTAATAATAATTCAATTTTATTAAAAAATAATAAAAATATATTATAAAAGAATATTAAATGTATAAAATAGAAAGGAGTTATAAAAAAATATTTTAAATTTTTTAATGTTTTTGTTACTTGACCGATTTGGGTTGGTTACTATTTCGGTCACTATTTTAGTTATTGATGATTTTGATCATTTAGTGACCGAAAATCACTATTTGATATTTTTGTTGTAGTGGATACGTGTTTTCCATCTTGATGCTTCCATCTATTTATGATGATATTTTAGTTGTAACATACATAAGAAATAATAATAAGAAAGTGAGAACAATTATCATTTAAAATAATACCATCTTATAATGATATATAAAATATATTTTTTAACTTCCTCAACATATTTTATTTATTCCATTTATGAATATTTAAGTTAAATTTGTAGTGATTAGTCAAGATAAATGAACTCAATTTTAATCACTATCTCAGTGATATTTACTCATTTCAATCCCCAAAGTCCAACCTCTATCTATAATATCATCAAATCTTCATAAATATATATTATTATTTAAAACAATCAAATAATATAAATATAAATTAATAAATAGAACCAATGCATAACTGGAAATAAAATAAATAAATAAACGAACAAGTACGTAACTAGAGATAAATAAATAAGACAAGTCAGGGATCGAAGATAAATAAATAAATTTAAGGAAGGACCAATACGTAACCTGGAGATAATTAAAATAGGATCACTTGTATAATTGGAGATAAATAAATAAATGTAAAGCAAATTAGTAAGTAGTTGAAAATAAATAAATAACGAAACAAATAAAATGAGGTTAGAAACACCTCCCTCGATAACTATCATTAAAATAAAATAGATAAAATGATAATAATCTCATCTCCCATGCCTTAAGAATTGAAGATGTTGTACACATTATTTTTCTTTAATTTTTTTTTCTTTATCTTCTTCTCCCTTTCTCTCTCACTCCTTCTTCTCCCTTTCTCTCTCTCTTCTTTTTTTCTTTCCTCTCTTTCTCTTTCTTCTCCTCTCTTTCCCGGAAACCCTTATTTATAATCATAATTAATTAATTATTTTTTTATTGCATTTAATTCAAGAGATAAAATAAGTTTATATTTATTATTATTATTATTATTATTATTATTATTTTAATCATTAACTCTTAAAAAAAATCACATTTATATATTTTAATTTTATTTAATTATATATATATTTTAATCATTATCTCTTAAAGAAATGAGGTCATATTTTTTTAATAATCAATTTTATTTTATAATAATTAATTAACTAGCTTGATTTTAATAATAAATATTTTTTTAATTTAAACTATAATTATTATTTTAATAAATATTTTTTTAATAGTTTAATAATATATATATATATATATATTATATTTTAATTTATTTATTTATTTACGTAAATGAGTCTTTTAAAATTATTTAAAAGATCTAAAATATTATTTTATAAATTGTTTTTGAAAATATTAATTTTCACATGTTACAAATAATCAACTAATGCAATACAGTAACTATAAAATGATTATGTATAGTTTGATTATTAAAATTTTTAGTAATATGGTATAATTCATTTTATAACTTAATCATATTTATCTTTATTAAAATCAAGAATATAATTAATTATATTTATCTTTATTAAAATTTAATAAATTATGAATTTGATTTCACATTAATCACTACAACAAGTGGCATCCCCTCGTCTCAACGTCACCTTCTTTTATGAAGTAGAGTCATGGATATGTTAAAATAACGAGTTCGTATGTTATTTTTCTTGTATATTATTTTTTTTACCTAATACAAATTTTTCATGTTCAGACTTGATGTTCAACATTAATGTATTTTAAAGTTTATAGATATAAACAAATTTTATGTTATTAAAGACGTTTTATAATAAAAAATATTTTTCTTATATAAATACTTATAAAAAATTTATTGACACCTACTTTTATTTAGATAATAATAATAATAATAATAATAGAAAAAAGGAAAAGACACATTTAAAGAAATATTTTCAGTATATAAATAAAGATGTATTTTCAAAGCTAATTTCTTTTGCTTACGTTAAATGCAATTTAAGCTCCAACACTGCAACGTGCTCTCGTTAAATCCAATGCAATACACAACATTTGAAATAAATGAAAGAATATGTTTACCTAGCCATACGGGATGACGGGTCATGTCCAACGGACTGCCGACAAGCCTACCATAATATGGCTGACACGTGTTACTTCTTTTATCAATTTTAATTTATTTCATCAAATTCGTCAACTCATCGATCAATACGTAGGGTAGAACAAAACAGCCCGTACTTCGTTTTATTAATAATTTTTTATTATAGTATAATATAAATAATAAAAATGATAATATATAATATAAAAAATTAAAAAAAAAATTTAAAAGTCTAAAAGTTTAATAAAAATATTTATAAAATATCAGTATCTTATTACTAAAAAATCAAAATTTTTTATTATTAAATATATATATTTATTATTATATAAATTTTATTTTAATTTAATTGTTTTAAAATATAATTTATTAAAATAATATATCAATTTATATTATTAATTTAATATATATATATAGAATTATTGATAATGATAATTTTATTATTAAATTTATTAAAAATTTTAATTTAAAAATAATAAAATAAATAATTATTAGGGTTCACTAACTATTTTCAACTCTTATCTTTTTTCTTTTTTTATTTAATTCAAATATATATATATATATATTAATTTATTATTTCAGTTTAAATAATATATTATTAATAAAAAAAACATAAAAATATAAAAATTAAAATTTAAGTTTTAAATATAAAAAATATATTTAATAATTTTAAAAATCAAAATCATAAATAAATACATAAAATTATATATTATAACTTTGTAATTGTAATAATCAAATTCAACTTCCAACACACATATTGCAGAAGATAGCTATAGTTTTTTAGTTTTTAATCAATAGAAAATGAATATAAGGAATATACGTCATTTTTTTTTCTTCTTCGACCCTGCTTTATCCTTCAAACAAATTAACAATAATTTGAAGTTTTCATTCCCATTTCATTTTATTTTATTAATATTGGCTGACAAAAAAATAAACGAAGAAATGGAGAAAAGCATATTCTTACACTCAGTTTCTATCACCGTTGGAGGAATGTGGAACGTTCCCGCCCATACACGCGTCAAGCATAGAATATCCCACGTGTCCCAAACACTTATCGCAACGACGACGTTTCTGCAGTTTAACTTATGCGAAGTCTCACGAAGTTTCTTTCTCACTAAGTTTTCACGCACACGCACCACGGTGGTTTTATTTATTACTATCTCCCGCTAAAGGAACCAAACTTATCCTCATTCATTCCACGCACGCAAAATCAAAAAAGCCCTGAGCAAAGTCATCTCCATTTTCTCTCAATTTCTCATTCGTCGTCGTCCCAACAAGAAAGAAGATGTGGAACCAGCCATTCGCCAAAACAGATTTGGAGAGCGGGGCGCGGCCTCTGTATCCGATGATGCTGGAGAGCCCCGAACTGCGGTGGTCTTTCATCCGGAAAGTCTACTCCATCATCGCCATCCAGTTGCTTGCCACCATCGTCATCGGCGCCGTCGTCGTCACCGTCCGCCCCATCGGGGTCTTCTTCGCCACCACCGGTGCCGGATTGGCTCTCTACATCGTCCTCATCTTTGTCCCCTTCATCAGTGCGTCTCCTGACCTAATTACTTTTTATTCGCCGCTTACTTTTCCTATAATATCTGTCTGATCCCTTGTTGTGCTGGTTTTGCATTCAATTGCAGCGTTATGTCCACTTTACTACTATTACCAGAAGCATCCCGTCAACTACCTACTCCTCGGGGTTTTCACTGTATCCCTTTCCTTTGTCGTTGGATTGAGTTGTTCCTTTACTAGCGGTACTATTCATCGTCTCTTTTCTCTCTCTCTCTCTCTCTCTTTTCTAGTAGAAGTATAAATTGCGTTTCGTTAGTGTGGGTGGTTTAAAATTGGGATTTATTTGACCGTTTATTAGTTCATTTATAGTAAAGCTGGTTTAAGTTAGGGTTAAGTTGTTTTAATTGTTGAAAATGAAAATGAGATTACCGTATGTTTGGTCCTCTAGAGGAAGGAGGAATTTTTTATTTTATTTTTTTTCATTTTTAAATTTCCTTGTTCGATATAAAAATCGAGTGGGAGGTGATGGAAAACGATTGAAACTCTTTGTTTTTTTCATCTAATAGTTGAAGGATTTGTAATTTATAAATTTTTAATGTACATACTACATTGATCCACGCTTTTGATTTTTATTTTAATGGTTTTCCTTACTATCTATAGAGATATAATAGTGAGCACTATTGCATTTGTCTTCGTGGATCTGATCACTAAAGTTTTTATGTGAGGTCTGAATTTACTGTCCTGTGGATGGATAAAACTGAGACCGATATGGAAATTTTTATATAAGGTAGCCAGTTGATTTTCTAGTAGAGATTAATAAGCAACAAAGGGGATACTTACTAGTTATAAAAAATGGTAACATGGTAACAGAAAAGATAGAGGTAAAATTTGAGTTTGGTTATCTCCTCCACCTCTTTAAATTGTTCATCCTCTGCATATCTCCCTTGAATCAAAGACATCATTTGAATTTGGTCTGCTTGTTTAAACTTTAGACCTTGATTTGCGTGACTCTAATTTGGAGCAATCTACAAAGTAGAATTGCATTTGGGAATTGGAGAGATTTTGGGGTACGTCCATCACCCTGGGTTGTGACCCCATACTATGCGTGTGTTGTGTGTTCTGTGTTCCGTGTTGGTGAGATTTTTGTGCGGACTAGGAGGATGTTAGGGCCATTATATTTTATTTTCTTCGTTACATCAGGATTTTAAGTTATGATTTCTAAGTTTAAGACCTGCTGATTACTTTCCTTCGACCGAGCATGGAATGGAGTTACGAGATGGATTATTCCCTTGTATGGAAGGTTTCGATGTAACTACAGTATTTCTGCAATGTGAAATAAATCCGCTCTTGAAACCCTAATTGAGATCTTAGTTGTCACGCGTTAGGATTTTCTCCCTTGTATATTTTGGCTTGGCCAACTTGGTTTGTTCACGTTGCATTCTCAGTGAAAATTGCCTAGTTGTGTATGGTCCTGATTTTGTTTATCAATGACACTGGATTTTTAATGCAGAGAAAGTTATTCTGGAAGCTGTCATACTGACCGCTGTAGTGGTGATTGGTCTGACTCTCTACACATTTTGGGCTGCAAGGAGAGGCCAAGATTTCAACTTTCTTGGCCCTTTCTTGTTTGGTGCTGTGCTAGTTCTTATGGTCTTTGCTCTGATTCAGGTATTGTTGCTTCGTTTGTATTATGGGATTGTGGTCCTTTTGGGTAGTCGACGTAACATTTTCTTTTCCGTTTCCGTGCGTTTCAGGTTCTGTTTCCACTGGGTAAGTTGTCTGTGATGATCTATGGGTGCTTAGCAGCCCTTATATTTTGTGGGTACATCGTATATGACACAGATAACCTTATTAAGAGATATTCCTATGATGAATTCATTTGGGCTTCGGTCGCGTTGTATCTGGACGTCATCAATCTCTTCCTGTCTCTGCTCACTATTTTTAGAGCTGCTGATAATTAGATCTTTGTGTCATATACTGCCCGTGCATTATTTGTAGTCTGTGGAGGATAGGGTGGGTTCCAAGAAGAAAACAAATTCTTATGATTAATAAGTCTTTGGGCTTACTCTTTTGCAAGGTATCTTGTGTACAATTGATTATTGTTAAAGTTGTTCATAAATAGTTTTTTAGCAATGAATTTTGTACTTAACTGTAAATACGGATTTGACTCATCTTTTTTTTTTTTTTTTTTTTTTGGGTTTTTACTACTTGTTTTCTGGTTGTAGTTGTTAGTTGATAGGTGGGCCATTATCCATGCTAGAATAGTTAATATAATGGCTATTCTATTCAATAATTTCAATAAACATGCTTATCCACGCATCATACAAGAACCTTACGAAAGTTCAATTACCTTACGAAAGTTCAATTAATTAAATGAATACGCCAATTGATGCGCACACAACCGAGATGCAGCCACTCACCTACAGGACATCTTTACTTGTTCATTAAATGTATTATTTTTGTTCAATAAGTACATAATATTGACTATATAAATGAATACACAAAAAAGACACATTTAATAAGTTTAAACAACATTATATATGTAGGTACTAAATATTGTATATGGTAAAAGAGTAAAATTAAGCTATATCCATTTAATAAATATCCAAGTAGCAATGACTATATTCATACTTATATTGTGAGCCATGACATTGTGCCATTACTGAAAAAAAAAAGTTTTAGGTTGCCAGAGAAACGTTGTGAAGCATTTTATGAAGCATGATATGCGCACACGACTTGTATGCAAAATTTGCGGGACTTGTCATTACAACGATCGAATAGAGGAACAGAAAAACACTTTGTCGATGAATTCGTATTTATGAAAGAATATACTTGCCTTGCCTATTTTTCCTTTGCAATTGGCAAACGTTAGAAAGGAAGTTGATACATAAACATTAACTTTTCCTTTAAGTCGCAAGTTGCTTTGGATTGGGTGGTTGTTGATGGTTAGAGATACTATCAAAAATATATTATAACATTTTAATAAGTATTATGACGTTTTAATAAATGACTGAGATAGTTGGGATAGTATTATGACACAAGTTATTGAGATAATATTATGATGTTAAAACATGAAATCCTAAATGGTAAAACATGAAGTTCATGACTTCATTATATTAAAAATTATTATGAATACACACAAATGAAAAAAATGTTATGTATTGTTTGTTAAATATATGATTTCTTATGCAAGGTTATGTGTCATTTGTTAATTATCCAACATTTATGTTTAAATAAGGATGCTTAAATTTTTTGTGAAGAGTCTGGTCATCAAAATTACGAGGGAGAGTTTCAAAGCTCACTTTTTATTAAAAATTATGTCATCACATTAGATCTAGACCATTAAATCTAATGAGATCTCATCCTTGAGATAGGAGATGCTTTGATTTTTGTGCTTGCATCTATATAATGGGTTAGTGGTGGGTTATTTCTCTTGTTCTCTGTTTTGTGCTCACTTGCTTAGTCAAATGTTATGTTTTATCTGTTGGCAAAATTTGGGTCATGTATATATATGATACATATTTAAATGTGTTAGGGTCATTATTTATTAAGCCAAATAATAAAGTGATCTGACTAAATTAAAAAGGTTTGGCTAAAGGTATATATCATGAAAATAAAATTGTGTAGAGACCATAGAACAATTTCTAATTTGATGAGGGGCAAAATTGGAAATACTAAAACTTAAGTAATTAACCTAATTTTGGTTATTTTAAGGGGTCATGGTCCCCTTCTGGGAGCACGTAGACAGAACGTAGTTACAGTCCCGTTTTTTTCTTTCTATCCCCATCAAGAGAGAAAATCAAGAGGGAAATACAGGTGCTCTTCAGGTGGAAGACCATAAGATCAATAGTGCTCTAAAAGGGACGTCATCATTATGGCTGATTAGGTACGCTTTCACATTTAGTTTACAACATGTTTATGAGTATGAGATGACTTTATATTTGATCGTTAGATTGAAGATCATATTTAATTATCAGTTTGCCTAACAATGGTATCAGAGCAACTCATACTTGATTCATGTTTGTCTTTAGAAATTATATTTATCAAAGATTCTATTCATTTCAGAACCCTAAGTGGAGAATAATCTCCAATTTTAGTAAACCCTAAATTTAAATTTGAGGATAAATTCTCAAATTTTAAACCTAGTTTCGAATTTGGGATGAATTCCCAAATTCCCAATGTTAGAATCGCGCAGCGGAATGTTCGCGTGGTCGGACAAAAACCAAGAGGGGGGTGAATTGGTTTCTTAACAAAAATTAGGTTTTCAAAATTTTTCCCAAATTTTTTCGATTAAAAATTGTGTAAATGTAAATAGAGATAGAGATAGAATCTTACATAGGAGATTTATACTGGTTCAGATCAAAAGACTCTACGTCCAGTTACTAATCACTCAAACAGAGGATTAACGTTGTCACTATAATCAAAGTTTGTTACAAACAAATTACAATGGAAAAGATAAAGTAAAGAAAACACCTCTCTTGAAATCCACAAGAGATGAAGAACAACTTTCCCCAGATACGGCACAATACACAATCCACTAAGAACTCCACTTAGTGATTCTTATCGCTTCTAGCCCACACCAGGTTCCAAAAGCCCCTTTTTCTTGTAACAAATAGTTCTCTGGCACTCACAACACTTAACTTTTGTATGAAAAAGGTTGTTCTTCTTTTCTGAGTGCCATAGAGATGCTTAAGTAGAGAAATTAGGGTTTTGGAATTGGGATTTTCGAAACTAGGGTTCTTGGAAATAGGGTTTTCGAAAATAGGGTTGATTTGAAGTTAAAATTCGAAATCTGACTGAAATAATCAATTAAATCAAGAGTTAATCGATTATTACAGAACCAAAATCAACAGAACCTCAAAACTCTCTATTTTAATCGACTAAAAGCCCTGTTAATCGATTAAAAGCCCTATTAATCGATTAACAGGCCTGTTAATCGATTAACAAGTGTGTTAATCGATTAAACCAGTGAGAAGATACAGAAAATGGTTTTTCTCACTGTTTTAATCGATTATTTCACCATTTAATCGATTAAAGCCGAGGCACTTTGATAAAATTGAGCTTTTTGAAGCTTCTAAGGTGCAGACTATGTACCGGCTATCTCAAACTCTAATATTACAGACTCAATCTAATCAAAACAGAGTTATTACACTACAAAACAAGTCTTCAACTCTTTAAGTCTTGTGTTCTTGAATCATCATCAAAATCAACAAGCTTCATGTCCATCAAGTCTAACATCAAGTCCTTGAATGTTCAACAATCTCCCCCTTTTTGATGATGATCAAAATTATCTTTTAAAGCCTTGTAATAAACTGTTTTATCTGTCATACTAACAAACACATTAAACATACCAGATAATATTTAAAAACAATAATATTAGGCTTTAAATATTTCTCCCCCTATTTTGATTATAATAAAAAATAATTCTTCTATGGCAAACATAAGAGCTCCCCCTCAAAATATGCATAACTTAGAGAAAACTCCCCCTCAATCAAAGCAAAAACAGAACACCACATTTTATTTCAGAAATAAGCATTCATTACAATATAAGAAAATAACAATCAAATTTAAAATTCTTCACTATCATCACTATGAAAGTGTGCATCAAATCTATTTTCTAAATGACACACTTTATCATCTACATCAGATATACGACGAATTATTTCCTCATGCCGTACTCCAGAAAGAGTGAAGAATGACTGCATTCTCTGATTCATGTCAGATAACATGTCTTCCATGGATTGTCGGGTTTCATGATGAGTAGAGGAAGTTCCAACACTTTGGATTTGATCAGAGGGAAGCTCAGCAGCAGGAGGCATATCTTCATCAGAATCTTCATTTTCGTCACCTTCATTTGGAACATCATCCTTATGAACATAAATATCGTTGACGCGCACCATTTGTAGTTGGATTAATGTGCTGTCTAACATACGATTCAAGTTATTTGTCCTTACAACTTGTTCACCTTCGACATTTACTCCTTTGTATTCAAGGATGCGAGAGACAAGGAGAGCATATGGAATTTTGAAGGTGGGATGACGTTTGGTTTTTAACATAGTCATGGTGACAAGAACGCCCCAGTCTAAAGGCTCATTATTCATTATGGCATGAATAATACGAAGATCAATTGAAGAACATTGAGCATGATTTGTAGCCCGAGGACATAGAATCCAGACAAGTAGAAGTAAAATCATGTGTTCCTCCTTTTTCAAAGGTCCAGCAAGAAGGAGACGCCCAATCTCCATGGAGGGATTTCGCAGAAAAGATCGGTAAGCCAAGATCCTGTCAAAATCATCTAACTTACCATACACGTTAATAGCATCTTCTCTAATAGGAAAGTGGGCAACGTTTTCCCAAATATCATCATCAAGAATAATTGTGACTCCTTTTACTCTAGAGGTAGCAATTTGATCTCTAAATTTGAACCTAAAGTAAAATACCCTAACTAAGTCAGGATAATACGTACCTTGCATTTGGATGAAAGGGAGAACTCCTTGAATTTCAAGGAGATTAGGAAATTTGAATCCCCTATTGATGAACTGCTCACCAATAAGGAACTTAGGATAAATAATAGCACATTCCTTCCAATAGGACAGAAATTCTTGTCGGCCATCTGCATCAGAGATCCATCCTTCTACAGAATTAGGACGGGGATGAGATGAGGGTGCAGATCTTCTTCTAGTGGAGATTTTTACACGAGAAGATGAGGCCATTGAAGGATTAGGAGAGTAACAAGAAGATTTAAGAAGCTAAGTGTAGATAGAAGAAGACAAGATTGCTAGAATAGGGTAAGATTGATAGAATGAGGCAAGAAAGCTTGAATTCAAGAGGTAGGAGTGAGTAGAAGTGAAATGGAGGTCCCTATTTATAGCTAAGCAACTCCAACGGACATATGAAAGTGTATAGGGTGCAAAAGATCCGTTGGCAATGGCTAGGAAGCCAAACTTGCCAGGTTTAATCGATTAAAATTCAAATTAATCGATTAAACCAGTATCAGAACCATTTAATCAAATAAATTGTGCAGTTAATCGATTAATGTTGTGTTTAATCGATTAATGGACGAATTAATCGATTAATCCAGAGAGGAATGTCATGTTTTGAGTGTTTTGGATGCAAATAATCGATTATAACTCCAATTAATCGATTATTCCAGAGAGTACATCAAATTTTTGAGGTTTTTACACATGATAAACTATGAACATCCTACACAATGAATTATAACATCACAACCATCCAAAAACTGTCTAATTAAGCATAATTTAAGCTATTTCTAATATCCCTAAGTCTCTTCTAAGTTCATAAAATCTATCCTTGGGTAGAGGCTTAGTAAATATATCTGCTAATTGATGCTTTGTATCAACATACTCTATTTTACAGTTTCCTTTGCTGATATGATCTCTCAAAAAGTGGTGTCTAATTTCTAGTTCTTACCCCTTTTGAGATATCACCAATGATATTGTCCATTGAGAGTCCTCTTGGTGATTGCCATTCTTTTGCTAATTCAGGTGTTTGAGAAGGCTCATTTTCTTCCAAATATAATTCATCAAGAGCCTCTCTTATATACTCATCATCACCTGCAAGTTCTTTATTTGACTCAAGAGGATTTCCCCCAAGGTCTACAATTTCATCAAATGTAACATGAATAGATTCTTCAATATTTAAAGTTCTTCTATTAAACACTCTGTAAGCCTTACTAGTTAATGAATAACCTAAGAAAATGTCCTCATCGGCTTTAGAGTCAAATTTTCCTAAGTTATCCTTTCCATTATTTAACACAAAGCACTTACATCCAAAAATTTTTAAATGAGCAACATTAGGCTTTCTACCATTAAACAATTCATAGGGAGTTGATTTTATAATTGACCTAATGAGCATTCTATTTAAAACATAACATGCAGTACTGACCGCATCAGCCCAAAAATATTTAGGAACATTATATTCATTTAACATAGTTCTAGCAAGTTCCTCTAATGACCTATTTTTCCTTTCAACTACACCATTTTGTTGGGGAGTCCTAGGAGCAGAAAAGTTATGTAATATTCCATTTTCTTCACAATAACTTTCAAACTTTTCATTTTGAAACTCACCACCATGGTCACTTCTTAAAACTTTAATTCTTAAGTCTTTCTCATTTTGAATTTGTTTTGCAAATTTTCTAAAGACTTTAAAGGCTTCACTTTTCATAGTTAGGAAAAATGTCCAAGTATACCTAGAGTAATCATCAACAATCACAAGGCCGTAATAATTTCCACCAAAGCTCTTTATCCTAGAAGGTCCAAATAAATCTAAATGTAATAATTCTAGGGGTTTTGAAGTGGAAATGACATTCTTTGATTTAAATGATGATTTTACTTGTTTACCCTTTTGACATGCATCACACAATCTATCTTTTTCAAATTTTAATTTAGGCAAACCAATAACTAAGTCTTTTGAAATCAATTTATTCAAATGATGCATATTTATATGAGCTGCTCTCTTATGCCATAACCAAGGGTTCTCTTCCTTAGCAACTAAGCATGTTATACTAGAATCATGTAAACAATCTAAATCAATCAAATATATGTTGTTATGCCTAATGCCTTTAAATTTAACATTTTCAGAATCTATCAAATGTATGGTGCAAAATTTACTTTCAAAAATTACCTTAAATCCTTTGTCACACAGTTGACTTATACTAAGGAGATTATGTTTTAGTCCATCAATAAGAAGCACATCCTTAATCTCCAAAGTGTTTGCACCACCTATGTTTCCAATTCCAAGAATCTTCCCTTTGTTGTTGTCCCCATAAGTTACATATCCTTGTTCCTTAGCTTTGAAACTTACAAATTTTGATTTATCACCGGTCATATGCTTTGAGCATCCACTATCAAGATACCACATAGACTTTTTTAGATTTGGAAGTTTCCTACAAAACAAGAACATAGTAAACTTAGGTCCCCATAACTTTTGGGTCCTTGGGATTAGAGACAAATAAATTATTTAACAATAGGAACCCAAATGTATTTACCTTTAGGAACACCAAAATGTTTAATTTTACATTTATTTGAAGTGTGACCTTGTTTCATGCAATAAAAACATGCTTTTGATGTAGCTTTAGAATAAGATGCATTACTTACAAAACATGCTCTAGTTCCTTTTTCTACCCATACTCTTTTATTTTTCTTTTTAGACTTTTTCAAAGGAACTTGTTGATTTACACTATTTTGAACAAACATCATTTCATGCTTCTTAAGATCATCTATTTCCTTTTCGGCCTTGTCAAATGGTTAAGAATATCTATATCATATTCATGCTCTTTACAATTTGCACATGCCAAGTTCTTATCATTATCCTCATCTAAACATACAATTTTCGTATTTAATAGCTCCTTTTCTTCTAAACATGTGATTTTCATTTTTAAAGAATCAATTTCCTTTTCGGATCTACTTAGATTCTTCTTTACAACTTTATATTCATTTTTCAAATTCTTAAAGGCACTAAATAATTCATTATATGCATTTTGCAGTTCATCATGGTCATTATCATCATCACTAGAAGATGAGTCGGAATCACTTACCTCAAAATCGGAAGATATGTTGTCATTTTCCATTAAGCAAATATTCGCTTCTACTTCCGAGTCACTTGATTCCGAACTTGAATCATTGTTGTCCCTAGCAATATAAGCTTTCTTCTTGAAGACCTTTTTGCCTTTGTTTTCATCGTTTTTCTTGTTTGAGAATTCGGTATTTACATGCCCTGCTTCACCACAACCATAACATTTTATATTTACGGAAGTACTTTCTCTTACCTTTCCCTTACCTTTGAATGGATGCCTTCCTTTAGCTTTCATGAATTTTGTGAACTTCTTTATCATAAGACTCAACTCTTCTTCTTCATTTTCTGAGTCTTCTTCTTCCTTTTTATTTTTACCTTAGGAAATTTCAGTTTTGAAGGCTAGGTTCTTCTTTTGGTATTGTCCTTCTTCTTCATTTAGCCTTCCAAGTTCAAGCTCATGCTCTCTAAGCTTTCCAAAGAGCGCCGCCATAGACATTGTGGAAAGATTTTGTGACTCCGAGATGGCCGTCACCTTAGGTTGCCATTTCCTATCCAAAGATTTTAAGATTTTAACATTTAATTCATCAACGTCAAAAATTTTACCTAATCCGGTGAGATGGTTCACAATATGAGTGAAACGCTTTTGAACGTCGAATATCGTTTCGCCTTGTTGCATCCGGAACATCTCATATTCTTGGATTAAGGAGTTTTTATGTGCTCTCTTAACGTCGTCAGTACCTTCGTGGGTCACTCTTAGCATTTCCCACATCTCCTGAGCACTTTTACAAACAGAAATCCTGTAAAAATAGTCAAGCGTTAAAGCAAATGAAATTATATTTCTAGCCCTAACGTCAAATTGTGCTTTTCTGTTTTCCTCTGTAGTCCATCTAGAAAAAGTTTTGGGAACGTCAACACCGTTCTCAGTAACTTTAGGAACATATGGACCGTTTAAAATAACATCCCAAACGCCTCTATCAACAGACTCTAAAAAGATTTGCATTCTTACTTTCCAGAAAGGATAATTTTGACCCGCAAAAAGTGGGGGTCTGTTGATAGACGCAATTTCGGCAAAAGTTTGATTTTGTCCGGCCATTTTCGAAAAGTTTGAATGACTATCAAAGCAAGCTCTGATACCACTTGTTAGAATCGCGCAGCGGAATGTTCGTGTGGTCGGACAAAAACCAAGAGGGGGGGTGAATTGGTTTCTTAACAAAAATTAGGTTTTCAAAATTTTCCCCAAATTTTTCCGATTAAAAACTGTGTAAATGTAAATAGAGATAGAGATAGAATCTTACACAGGAGATTTATACTGGTTCGGATCAAAAGACCCTACGTCCAGTTGCTAATCACTCAAACAGAGGATTAACGCTGTCACTATTATCAAAGTTTGTTACAAACAAATTACAATGGAAAAGATAAAGTAAAGAAAACACCTCTCTTGAAATCCACAAGAGATGAAGAACAACTTTCCCCAGAGATGACACAACACACAATCCACTAAGAACTCCACTTAGTGATTCTTATCGCTTCTAGCCCACACCAGGTTCCAAAAGCCCCTTTTTCTTGCAACAAACAGTTCTCTGACACTCACAACACTTAACTTTTGTATGAAAAAGGTTGTTCTTCTTTTCTGAGTGCCATAGAGATGCTTAAGTAGAGAAATTAGGGTTTTGGAATTGGGATTTTCGAAACTAGGGTTCTTGGAAATAGGGTTTTCGAAAATAGGGTTAATTTGAAGTTAAAATTCGACATCTGACTGAAATAATCGATTAAATCAAGAGTTAATCGATTATTACAGAGCCAAAATCAACAGAACCCCAAAACTCTCTGTTTTAATCGATTAAAAGTCCTGTTAATCGATTAACAGGCTTGTTAATCGATTAACAGGTGTGTTAATCGATTAAACTAGTGAGCAGATACAGAAAATGGTTTTTCTCACTGTTTTAATCGATTATTTCACCATTTAATTGATTAAAGCCGAGACACTTTGATAAAATTGAGCTTTTTGAAGCTTCTAAGGTGCAGACTATGTACCGACTATCTCAAACTCTAATATTACAGACTCAATCTAATCAAAATAGAGTTATTACATTACAAAACAAGTCTTCAACTCTTTAAGTCTTGTGTTCTTGAATCATCATCAAAATCAACAAGCTTCATGTCCATCAAGTCTAACATCAAGTCCTTGAATGTTCAACACCCAAATCGAGCGAGAGAACGTGAAAACAGTGAGAACCTTAATCCCCCACTGCCGCAGAGCCTCACCATTCTCTTCAGCGACTGCAGCCCTACCTGGTGCCCCACTGACGACCTTCAACTTCGCCCACCTCCCGTTCCCGTCCATAATCACCGCGACGTGCTTCGGAATCAGCTCCGCGGCCAGATCAATCGACAGCGGTCCTGGCAGCTCTCGGTCGAGCGACACGTGTCTGCGCCATTCGTGGAGGATTCAGAAATGGGTGAGAGGTCTACGACTAGGATTTATGGAACGTTTGGGAATGGACGGTGGGATGTAGAAAGCGCGTGAAGGAACCAGAAAGTATGGTAAGGAGCGATCCCTTGGATGATGGAAAGGTGACACGTGAGGGGATCACGTGGCGTGCAGAGATATGAGTGAAGGGAATAGAGAGAGAAAATAAAGAAGGGATTAGGATCTCGTGAGATTTCGACTTGGCACGTGTCAAGGTCGAAGTCCAATGTAAAAATCCCCAATAAATCTATCTATTTTCATATCTGAAGAACACTCCTCCACCTCACATGGCCCGCGTCGTCACAAAGCGCCACGCTGGCAGCGGCGGCGAGCGAACTGCGTTTTGCAACCGTAAGCGGCTGCGTTTGGGAATGGTAGTGAGGAGGATAATAATGGTGAGAATAAAAAGGGAAGAAAATATTTGCAGCATGAAAATAAGTACTGCGAGAATTAACAATATATATTTGATTTTATTATATAAATAAAATATTAATTTGTTTGGTAGTTTAATATTTTTGTGAGCAAATTGAGTCAAGAAGTTACCAAAGTAACATCTCTTGAATTGGGTAGTTCGTGAAAAATATTAAATGTTAGTGTTTGTGTATATTCATGCGAGTATTAGTCGGCCCAAAGGAAGATTAATATTTGGCCGAATTGCATATACACTTGTAATGATAAACATGTGATAATTATAAAGATTTGTTTTGTCGATGATAAATCAATCCAAAGACTGATTTGTTGTTGGACGTGCTTTATTGTCAATGTTTGATTATTACAACAAGATACCTCTAGCAGTTAATATTATTGTCCAAAGACTTGATATTGATGGTGCATTAGGTGTCTTGAGATGGGTTAAACCATTATTTGAATATATATTTTATTTATAATTATTTATTTTTATACTGTGAGCATAATTAATTTATTTCTCATGTTTTTAATTTAGCTACAATTGTTTATGTATCTGCCAATTTAAATTATGTTCCGATCCTCAAAAGTATGTTTCCCATTTTGGTCTGTTCTGAAGTCAATTTAGCGTCAGTACCTAGTAACACATGGTGGTTAGACTCAGGTGCAACTACTAACATCAGTGTTTCTATGAAGGGTTGCCTAAGCTACCGGAAGCCAATTGATTCTGAAAGATGGATATATGTTGGAGATGGTAAATCGGTAGAGGTGGAAGCTATAGGGCATTTTAAATTGTTATTAAGTACTGGTTTTTATTTGGATTTGAAAGACACTTATGTTGTGTCGTCATTTAGACGGAATTTGGTTTCAGTTTCTTATCTGGACAAATTAGGTTATTTGTGTTCATTTGGAAACAATAAGTTCAGTTTGTCTTTTAATTCAGATATTGTTGGAACTGGTTCACTTTTGCCTTATGATAATCTGTATTTACTTGATACTGTGATCACCTATAATGAAACTCTTAATACAGAATCACGGGGTACTAAACGCAAAATTAGTGACACTCACTCAGGAGCATTATGGCACATCCGATTAGGTCACATCTCTAAAAATAGAATTGAACGACTTGTGTCAATTGGAATCTTAGAGTCCATTGACTTCACAAACTTTGATGTTTGTGTTGAATGCATTAAGGGCAAATAGACCAAAGCGAAGAGATTATGTGCATATAGAGCTACAAACGTCTTAGAGTTGATACTGTTGAACATTCAAGGACTTGATGTTGCACTTGATAGACATGAAGATTGTTGATTTTGATGATGATTCAAAGAACACAAAGACTTAGAGTGTTGAAGACTTGTTTTGTATTGTAATAACTCTGTTTCAATTAGATTGAGTCTGTAATATTAGAGTTTAAGATAGCCAGTACATAGTCTGCACCTTAGAAGCTTCAAAAAGCTCAAATATATCATCTAGGCTCGGCTTTAATCAATTAAATAGGGAAATAATCGATTAAAACAGTGAGAAAAATCATTTTCTGTAACAACTCACTGCTTTAATCGATTAAACCAACTTTTAATCGATTATCAGGCGGTTTAATCGATTAAACCACCTTTTAATCGATTAAAACAGAGAGGTTTGGGTTCTGTTGATATTTGGCTCTGTTTTAATCGATTAATACTTCTTTTAATCGATTATTTCAGATCGATTTTGATTTTTAACTTCAAATCAAACCTATTTTCGAAAACCCTTTTCCCAAGAACCCTAATTCCGAAAATCCCAATTCCCAAACCCTAATTTCTCTACTTAAACTCTTCTATGGCACTCAGAAAAATAGAACAACCTTTTTCATACAAAAGTTAAGTGCTGTAGTGCCAGAGAACTGTTTGTTGCAAGAAAAAGGGGTTTTCTGAACCTGGTGTGGGCTAGAAGCGATAAGAATCACTAAGTGGAGTTCTTAGTGGATTGTGTGTTGTGCTGTCTCTGGGGAAAGCTGTTCTTCATCTCTTGTGGATTTCAAGAGAGGTGTTATCTTTACTTTATCTCTTCCATTGTAAATTGTTTGTAATAACTTTGTTTATAGTGACAGCATTAATCCTCTGTTTGAGTGATTAGCAACTGGACGTAGGGTCTTTTGATCCGAACCAATATAAATTTCCTGTGTAAGACTCTATCCCTTTCTCTATTTACATTTACACAGTTTTTAATCGGTAAAATTTGGGGAAAATTTTGAAAACCTAATTTTTATTAAGAAACCAATTCACCCCCCCTCTTGGTTTTTGTCCGACCACGCGAACATTCCGCTGCGCGATTCTAACAAGTGGTAGCAGAGCTTGCTTTGATAGTCATTCAAATTTTCGAAAATGGCCGGACAAAATCAAACTTTTGCCGAAGGTGTGTCTATCAACAGACCCCCACTTTTTGTGGGTCAAAATTATCCTTTCTGGAAAGTAAGAATGCAAATCTTTTTAGAGTCTGTTGATAGAGGCGTTTGGGATGCTATTTTAAATGGTCCATATATTCCTAAAGTTATTGAGAACGGTGTTGACGTTCCCAAACCTTTTTCTAGATGGACTGCAGAAGAAAACAGAAAAGCACAATTTGACGTTAGGGCTAGAAATATAATTTCATCTGCTTTAATGCTTGACGAGTTTTACAGGATATTAGTTTGTAAGAGTGCTCAAGAAATGTGGGATAAACTAAGAGTAACTTATGAAGGAACCGATGATAGTGACTCGATTTCGGAGTCAAGTGATCTGGAAATAGAAGCTAATATTTGCTTGTTGGCAAAAGACAATATATCTTCCGACTTTGAGGTTAGTGATTCCGACTCATCCTCAAGTGATGATGAAATTGATTTTGATGAATTGCAAAATGCATATAATGAATTGTTTAGTGCCTTTAAGGACTTGAAAAATGAATATAAAGCTGTGAAAAAGAGTTTAAGTAGATCCTAAAAGGAGGTAGTGTCCTTAAAAACGAAAATTGCATGTTTAGAGGAAAAGGAAACCTTAGAAACGAAAATTGTATGCTTAGATGAGAATGATGATAAGAATATAGTATGTGCATCTTGTAAAGAGTATGAATATGACATAGATATCCTTAACCATTTGCTAGATAAAGCCGAAAAGGAGATAAGTGAATTTAAGAAGGATAAAATTGTTTTAGCTCAAAATAGTGTAAATCATCAAGTTCCTTTGAAAAAGCCTAAAATGAAAAAGAGAAGAGTATGGGTGGAAAAAAGAACTAAATTATCTATTGTTAGAAATACATCATATTCAAAAGTTACATCAAATGCATGCTTTTATTGTATGAAACATGGTCATACCTCAAATAGATGTAAAATTAAACATTTTGGTGTTCCTAAAGGAAAATATATTTGGGTTCCTATAGTTAAATGGATTGTTTGTCTCTTATATTTTTTTCAAAGAAAATTAATCATTTAGTATGCTTTAAATAGAATGCTCATTAGGTCAATAATTAAATCTACTCCATATGAATTGTTTAAATGTAGAAAGCCTAATGTTGCTCATTTGAAAATCTTTGGATGTAAGTGTTTTGTGTTAAATAATGGAAAGGATAACTTAGGAAAATTTGACTCTAAAGCTGATGAGGGCATTTTCTTAGGTTATTCATTAACTAGCAAGGCTTATAGGGTGTTTAATAGGAGAACTTTGAATATAGAAGAATCTATACATGTTACCTTTGATGAGATTGCAGACCTTGGGGGAAATCCTCTTGAGTAAAATAAAGAAATTGCAGGTGATGATGAATATATAAGAGAGGTTCTTGATGAATTATATTTGGAAGAAAATGAGCCTTCTCAAATGCCTGAATTAGCAAAAGAATGGCAATCACCTAGAGGACTCTCAATAGACAATATCATTGGTGATATCTCAAAAGGGGTAAGAACTAGAAACATGACTAATTTTTGTATGTCTGTAGCTTTTGTGTCACAGATTGAACCCAAGAATGTTGAGGAAGCACTTAAAGATGACCAATGGTGCATAGCCATGCAAGAAGAACTTAACCAATTTGAAAGGAATCAAGTCTGGGAATTAATCCCAAGGGAAGAATCATATCAAGTTATTGGAACCAAATGGGTGTTTAGAAATAAACTTGATGAAGATGGGAACATAACAAAGAATAAAGCCAGACTTGTTGCAAAAGGCTATTGTCAGGAGGAAGGTATAGATTATGATGAAACTTATGCTCCTGTTGCCAGGTTAGAGGCTATACACCTACTTCTTGCCTATGCATCTTTAATGAAATTTAAACTATATCAAATGGATGTTAAAAGTGAATTTTTGAATGGTTTTATTAAAGAAGAAGTTTATGTGGAGCAACCCCCTGGTTTTGAGGATTTTAGTTTTCCTAATCATGTTTTTAAATTAAAGAAAGCTTTATACGGGTTGAAACAAGCTCCTAGATCTTGGTATGAAAGGTTAAGTAGTTTCCTAACATCAAATGATTTTTCTAGAGGAAAAATTGATTCTACACTGTTTATAAAGAAAGTTAAAGAACATATCTTATTGGTCCAGGTGTATGTTGATGATATTATTTTTGGATCAACTGATAATTTGTTATGTGTAGAATTTGCTAAGATAATGCAGGGAGAGTTTGAAATGTCTATGATGGGAGAATTGACATTC